GCAGTTGACCTAATTCAAGTATTGTGTAAAAACGCATGATCGCACCGGCTCGCCTGGTGCGTTTCAGCCTGGGTTCATTTTCAAAATTTTTTATTTTCAAAACTTTACAAGATTAATATTATCTTCTACTGTAACTGTCATTTCCAGCCCCGTCCTGGCGCTTTTTCCAACTTCACTAGTAGTCGTTGCGGAGACACACTAATGAATTAGCCTCTGCATAAAAGAGAAGGGTCTCATGAATTCTAACCAAAACAAGTTAGCTTAATTGGCTTCCTTCATATCCAGCACCTTGTTTTATATTCTTTAGTCAGAATTTAGGGGAATTGCTGCTTGCGAACTGGACTAAAGTTTCCAGTTTCGTTTTTTTGGCTTATCAAGCTTCCTTCAAATTACTCCCCGAGAATTGGCGTGTTTTTTCAAGTCTCTCCGCAGAAGAGAAATGCATCATGACAAAACTACTCTGCGCATATGCGGGCGTTTATTTGTTGGCGTAGTTCAGAAATCGCGTTAACGAGAAAGGCGCAGTTTTGCGGAGCGGAGATTAACATCGTAAATGAGACCTGTGATCAATTTACAGACTTCCTTCTCTTCTGATCTTTGACTTTTATATCAGATGTTCGGCTGGTGTTACAAACCGAAAATGAGCAAAGCAAGGTCGTCTTGTGCGCAGTCCTGTTTGCGAAAGCCTTACTTATTAAAGGTTTTTAGTGGAGCAACTCGTTTACTCTACTGTGTAATTTTCGCTGTAACAAACATAGCTTCGGGAAGCATTTAGTACACACCCAATTATTTGCAGTATGTTGGACAATATGACTGTGGTGATCCAAAACCAAAGAAGCGCGATAAGCCGGAAGCGCATGTCCAGTGGAATTTGCAAGAAAATCAAGAAAAGTCAATTTCCATTGCGGGCACTGATGATCAGTTCGGTGATCATTCTGATTCACCTCCAAAAAGTTCCAAAACTGCAAAGGTTTCATTTCTTCAGATGATTTTTCACACGGCTTCGGATAGTATATCACAGCTATAGTTCGAAAACTTATCACTAGGGCCAACAACGCGAACTGAGGTGGTTTTTAGTCTGAAGCTTCTTAAGTAAATGCATGTTATGGAGTCGAAGATTTGATCGTTTAGTATGAATTATGTTGGCTTTTAAACGCAAAAAAAATCATTGGCGACGCGCATTGGGCGGGCCCGTGCGATCATACATTTTTGCAATACTTCGTGCTGTAACGAGATTGCTCGGAAACCCAGTAGCTAGAAATATGTGATATACTGGCTCTCGAAGCCTGGGAAGTTGATTTTCTACGCGGTATTTGGAAAAGGAACATTTTGGCGAAATTTCAGCTTTC